TCTGTAATGTCAATGATAACTGGGAGATATTTTATCAATTGCAGTCATTTCTTGAACCCAGATTTTAATCATCGTCTTGGTGATAAGGGATCGAGAGCTGTTGACATTGATCAGTGTATGGGATAAGGTAAGCTGTTATTTTTTTTTTATCTCTTTCTCTCTCTTTCATCATTTCCTTATTTTCTCTTTCTTCCTTTTTTATCTGTCGTTCTTTTAAATTCTCTCTTCGTGTCTCTCTCTCTCTCTCTCTCCCTCTCTCCCATTCTTTCTCTCTCTCTCTCTCTCCCATTACTCCCCCCTCTCTCTCTTCTCTCTCCCATTCTCTCTCTCTCTCTCTCTCTCTCTCTCTCTCTCTCTCTCTCTCTCTCTCCATCTCCCTCTTTTTTTAACTTTTTGTCTCTCTTTCATCATTTCCTTATTTTCTCTTTCTTCCTTTTTATCTCTGTCTGTCGTTCTTTTAAATTCTCTCTTTGTCTCTCTCTCTCTCTCTCTCTCTCTCTCTCTCTCTCTCTCCCTCCCTCTCATTCTCTCTCTCTCTCTCTCCCATCCCTCTCTCTTTCTCTCTTTCTCTTTCCCTCTCCCATTCTCTCTCTCTCTCTCTCCCATTCCCTCTCTCTCTTTCTCTGTCCCTCTCCCATTCTCTCTCTCCCTTTCTCCCATTCTTTTTTTTTTTTTCTCTCTCTCTCTCTCTCTGTCCCTCTCCCATTCTCTCTCTCTCTCTTTCTCTCCCTCTCCCATTCTCTCCCTCTCTGTCCCTCTCCCATTCTCTCTCTCTCTGTCCCTCTCCCAGTCTCTGTCTCTCTGTCTCTCTCACATTCTCTCTCTCTCTCTCTCTTCCTCTCCCTCTCTCTCTCTCTCTCTCTCTCTCTCTCTCTCTCTCTCTCTCTCTCTCTCTCTCTCTCTCTCTCTCTCTCTCTCTCTCTCTCTCTCTCCCATTCTCTCTCACTCTCTCTCTCTCCCATTCTCTCTCTCTCTCTCTCTCTCTCTCTCTCTCTCTCTCTCTCTCTCTCTCTCTCTCTCTCTCTCTCTCTCTCTCTCTCTCTCATTCTCTCTCTCTCTCTCTCTCTCTCTCTCTCTCTCTCTCTCTCTCTCTCTCTCTCTCTCTCTCTCTCTCTCTCTCTCTCTCTCTCTCTCTCTCTCTCTCTCACTTCTCTACAGGTGAGTTCGTGGGAAGTGGTACGGTTGTCAAATTAAAATTCAAGAAGTATTGTTTGCTTTATTTATTATTTTTTATGTGGAATGCCTGTATTCATTATCAAGTTCATGTGTTAATTCTCTTTGATTATAACAAAAAATTTGATGAATTAAGAGGAGACACAGGGGATCACACAGGATCCATATTAAGTTACTTAAAAATAAAGAAATTTGTATTACTAAACACTGCGAGTTATAAAAATAATGGCTATCAATACATCGCAATGGACACTTTTTTTTCTCATCTAGCGTTTTGTATTTAACATTCCGGAAATAAGGAGTCACAGTTATCTTCACCGTTGACCAAAGGACTGATCAAATTATCCCATAAATCTTTTTGATGAGCCATTTCACTCAGAACCTGCAGGCCGTACTTGGTATAAGAGTCCCGAATGTTCACACACAAAACGTACTTCGCACACTCTGGTTTTTCTTGCAGAGTATCGGCAATGTTTGAGATCGCTGAGTAGGTTTTCTCGATGGCTTGGAGCGATTCTTCTTCAGTTTGCCCTAAAAGACAGCCTCCGTTTTCTGATTCCCATACGTCTCGTTTTCTTCTTCCAGGGGGGACTACGATAATAAGCATCGACATGGACATGACATTTGAATTCTGTTCGTTGTAGTTGCTGTTGGCATTGTTACCTGCGTTAATATTGTCGTTATTATTGTTATTATTCATGTTGTTGATTGTGTTGATAACGCCGTTGAAAACTTGGAGGGCAAAAGTCAGAAGATTATACGAATTGAAGCCGAAATTTCCCACTCCCCCTGGACATCCTCTTTTAACTCTAGCAGAAGGCGGCGAAAGCTCTCTCTCCTCTCCGTCACTAGCGTTGTTTTCAGAGGAAAGGTTTCCAGGCTCTGTATCGTTACCCGAAAGGTCACGATCGGAAAGGTCGTAAGGGGTCGTACGTATTCTATTCTCCGCTAAGAACTGTTCACCAACTGACCTGAGAGTCAATCGAAGATCTTGTAAGGTGTCGCGGTCGATGCTTTCACTCCGACGCACTCGATATGCTATCACTATGAACACTAAGGTCACGAAGACCTTACACTGATTTACGCACATTAGACTTTTCTTTCATTAACACAGCAGCGGAGGAACTAGCTTGCTCTGTGTACTCCGGCGGGAAGCGAGTGTTAAACCATAAACCTCGCGACCGAGGCGGGAGGTGGTGGTAAATATAGCGGGCGGGTGGGGGGGTGGGGGAATAGGTAGGGAGGAGGGAACAGGCAAGTAGGGAGGAGAGTGGAGTGTGACGGGACGAGGGAAGAGTAAGGAAGGAGGAGGAAGGAGTGGACAAAA